ACCTGGAAAACGCACTCTTTGTGTCCCCAAACCTCAGGGCTTGGATCCCTTGCTGTTCCTTTAGCCACAACTCCTCTCCTTCTTGTCCAACAATCTCTTCAAAGTCCCAATAGCCTTCAATCCTTGCTCTAGATGCCCCCAACCGATTTAGGGTTCTTCCCAATCGGCCAAAAGACGGACCATGACGGCCTAAGAGGCGTTATATACGATCCAAAACTAAACGGCTAGGGTTTCTGCTGAACAGCATCGACTCGCCGAGTCCATAACTGGACTCGTCGAGTCCAGTCGCGAACCTGCGACCAAGTCTGCGATCCTACTTGGCGAGTCTGGCTCCAACTCGCCGAGTCCCCCCTTTAAAACACCCTAAAATGTAATTTTTAACAATACTTGAGATTTCGGGCTGTTACACTATTCATTGATTCTTAATACATGATGTGATAAGATTGCATTTGAATGTTTTGAATGATCGGTGAAAAGAAAGGAAGCTTGATAAGGGAGCAAGATGAATCTAATCACAAGTGATGGATCTCGATCGCATGGACTTGAAGATTGGATTTTGAGCTTAGATAGTTATGATAGAGTTGTTAGAAATTTTCCTTTTACATAGTTTTCGATAGATTTTGCATTGTAAGGACAAATATTTTTCCGCTGCTTTTATAAATAAATAAATTTTGTTTGACTTATTTATTTGTTTGTTTACTTCCTTGCAATGAAATCATTATGTGAAAATTTATGTTTACATATTTCTACAACGAATGGATATGATTCTTAGTTATGTTATTTATGGAAATGTCGAGAATTTACCAAATAGGGAGAGTTTCTCATCGCCCAAATTTCAATTGGACAGAAACTTGGAATCATGCAACGTGGATGCACGATGAATGAGAAATTTTGTATTTGGAAATTGGACTAATTCATTGACAAAGTGTCAACTGAAGGACTAGGAGATCGAGTACACAAAGTTGTGTGTTGATCAAGTTCACCATAAGAGTAACAAAGATATTCGTCATGATTTACTAAAGGCTTAGTAAATATGATTACACTTACAAGATTAAGTGTAATTTTGAATTGATTAAAGGATTTAGATCAATAGCAAAACGAATAAGAAGAATCAAGTAGGCAGAAAGATAAGAGTTTCTCCATTCTAAGAAGAAGGGAGAGTAACTTTTATGCTTTATGATAGGTCTTAATGATTAAGAACCATATCTCAATTGATCCTCTAATGAGTCTTGTACAATTGTATGTCCAAGAAGAGGAATCAAAGATTGAAGAAATGGTCAAATCAAGAAGTCAATCATGCTTCGTTCCAAAACAAGTCTTAAAGTCAAGATTGTGAAATTGAGTGAATAGTATTAAGAAGGTTTATAACATTCATCAATTGTGGAAAGTTGTGATGTCTTGGATAAGACAAAGACCAACTAAGACCAAAATTATGAAGTGTTTTGTTTTGATATAAGCTACACTAACTCTTGAATATTTGTTTGTCAAGAATGTTTTGATAAGAGAATCGTATATGTCAAGGAGTCAGTGGGAGTCTTAATAGTCTTGAAAAGTTTCAAGAACAAATCAAATAAGCCTTATCGATCATCACTAGCACACGAGTTGAGGTTTACAACCTATCGTGAAGACATTATTTTGTTTGTGTGCCAATCCAATCGAGTTAATTATGCATATGAGTCCTATGAGTTCTCATTTGAATGCATAAAAGGCAAGGACCTTGATCAATGGAAAGTACATTGATAGGAAAAGGTGAGCTTCTTAACTACTTGGAAGACGTGGTGGGCAGCTGTGCTACCATAAGGCAAGAAATCAAGATTAAGAAAGTTCGATCCATATGAGTTTGAATTTGTCGTAAACTTTGGTTTTAACAAATTCACATGGATAGGAACACATACATCGTTTAAATCTAAGTGTCATAAGATTTCCTCCTTCATGAAAATGATTGTGAGAAAATGCTTTCGCTAAGAAAGATTTTAAAAGATAGTGATTGTAAAATTGCATTCTCGAATTCGATCATGGTGACGGCATCCCTTTCCATAATTTGAATTGTGAGGTTTGGCAATTAGTCTTAATTGTTAAGACACACATATGAACTATCTAAGGCAAAAGTGTATAAGTTCAAGAAGTCTTGATAAAAGATTATCAAAGCACTAAGTATTAGAAACATGAACTTAAGAAATTCAATAAGTATTGTTTTTCTGAAAGCTAAGATGTTTATGAATATATCTCGAAGCTAGTGGGAGCATAAGTGTTATGTTTTATAATAATCATCATGATAGTGGGAGCATAAATGTTATGATTGTATGATTATTAAGGCAAGTATTGCATAGTTGGCAATATTAATTATAGAAAACAAGAGTCATACTTTGCAAAGTTGTAAGAGTTGAAAGGTTGTTTTGCTATAATTAAGGGAGAGAATATTATGCTTCATTTCAAATCTAAAGGATTAGGTTGTGAAATGATAATAAACTTAGTCAAGGGTACATAGTGTGTTCTTAAAATTTCGATTATGATTACAACATTCATCTTCACAATTCGAATTTTGAGAACATAAAACATTGTTCATCGTGTCTCATACGCTTCAGGTATAGGATCGATTGCAAATGCTTTAATGTTTGACCATTCTGAAATTTTCCAAATGTCTAGTGCATTTAGAGGGAAAAGGGACTAGAATTGGTTTTGACTAAAATAATTAAACAACTATCAAAGGACAATCCAAAGTTCGACGAGGATTGGTCGCTTGTGAGTAGTTGGAAGTATAGTATTGGAAAATATGGAAATGTTTCCATATTGGATGGACCATATCGACATCATTACAAATAGAAAGGATTCTATTAAGAATGAGTTGTCATGAGGAAAATATGGAAGCGTGTTCATATTAGGAAGTAAATATTGAAAATCTATGTCTAGATTAGAAACTTTTATGCAAAAGGATGTTCAAAGGAATGTACTTTGAGTGAGAGACATCATATCTAAGGAATTGTCTTGTAATAATCTACATTAGAGGACTTTGTAATATCATTGGCAATAGTCTTTGAGACTTTGGTGCAGTGACATTACAAAAGGATCGTTGCATAAAGTGTTAGAATCTAGTATATTCTATAAGTAACAAGAATTTGATATTCTTACACTTAAGAAAATGGATTTGGAGTTGTAAAATGAGAATGATTGGAAATGTGTTCAATTTGTCTATGTCACAAAAGTAAGAACCATAGGTAAACATTGTGTGCATGCTAGGAGCATGGGATAAGTGTTGGAATTCAAGTAAGAAGTTGATTACCTGAAACGACAAATAATGAGTAATTGATATGATGATAAATAAAATGTGTTTTGTTTATACTCAAAGGTTTGAGGCCATATGGGATTAGTATTATTCTTGTGTTTCACCTTGCATGTTTTGACTTCCAGAATAATTGAGTTTATTAAGAATAATCGAATTATTCAAACGGGCCACAGTCGTTCATATGTTGGAAGTAGATATGAATGAAGACTGTCATGAATTGGTGTGTGGATTGTCTAAGAAAGTATTAGACATAAGCAAATGTTTGCTGCAACGTTCATGAGTGCTTATGAATATGATTTGAGCATTAGATTAAACCCACACTCACTTGGATCACTCCATGAATTGTATTACGAGTTATTAGTGAGACGATAACATCTTATATTCTTGAAACCGAGATGTGTGAGTTGTATCTTGCGAATCGGTTGCACATTGATAATATGTAAACGCACCAGTAACTTGGTGTTATAAAACATATTGTTGTGTTTAATTCGGTGAGTGAGTACAAGCGAGCATTGTATCAAAGTTTATCCATTCCTTTTATCCAAGGTAGGATAAAAGCGATATCTTTGGGCCCCTCGATGGTTTAGTGATGACATACGTAAATGCTCAGACGGGCTAGGGCTAATTTGATTTGTTCGATTAATTTGTCGTCATAAATCGTAAATCGAGATTTAGTACAAAGAGAATGATTTCAAATCATATCTCATACGATATCTAGAATGGAGGAATATATGATCCCTTATCTAAGGACACGCGTATCTGATATGATCAGAGTTGACAGTGGCTTTGGAAAGCTACGATTGCAGATCAGGATCTGAAGTCATACGCAGAATAGTTGTCAGACTTATTCAAGTGGGAGACTGGTTGATTAGTGTCTAAGTCCATAACTATTTTCGTATGTACTTGACCCGATGGTGCATGGTCCTTTTGGGTTGCCTTCACCAAAGCAACTTGATTGAAGAAATGAATAAAGAGAGAGAGAGGATAATATGATTTATTAATATGTTATAAGAATAATATATTAAAGGAGAAATCATATTTGTTTAATTAATATTGGTCAATAATTAATTAAGAATTAGTTTTGTGATTAAATGTAATTAATTAAACTAGAGGGGCTGATTTGTAATTATGTGATAGTTACAAAATAAGGTAAGGATTATCTTATTTATATGGTGGATGAATTTAAGGTCGGAAAGCCTTAGAATTCGTGTATGATAAGGATTCAAGGATTATCTTATTGGTTGCTTAATGGATAATCAACTAGATAAGGATAATGACTGAAACCCTATCTCTACACCTATATAAACACCCCTAGGGTCATGAATTTGTGTATCCCTTCCCAAGAGGTCCTAGATACGAATTCTAACCTCTTACCTCTCTCTTTATACCTTCTCCATTTGCTTATGGTGTTTGTGAACCATTAGAGGAGTGACACTTGTGACTCTAAGCCTTCCAAAGTCAATTCAAGGAGATTTGGGATTGTTATTGCTACATAACAATCAAGGTAACACTATAAACTTATTCTCATGTTAATTTGATTATATGTATGCTAGAATTAGGGTTTATAGTCTTGGATTCAAAGCATGTACAATAGAGAAACCTAGATCCAAGCATTAGGGTTTGTATGAGCACATAGGAACTACAAGAAAAAGGCCCTTTAACGACGCGCAAACCACGACACTCATTAATTTATGTTACGCAAAAGAGAGTGACATTAAAAAAGTGACATCTCTTCAAAAAATTTAAGGATTTAGGTCACGCATTATTGCGCGCCCTTAAATTAGTATCATAAGAAAAAAAATTAAAAACACGGAGGGTGCTGTATCTTAAGTACGCACCCTCTATAAGTGTCGCTTTATAATTATAATGAAATGCGCGTTTAGGAAGTAGACAGGGGGAAACGAAATCCCCAAGTTTTGAAAAACCCGCCTTCTACCTTCTTTCTATCTTTCATCTTCCCAATCGACTCTCCCTCTCCCTCCTTCTCTTCCTCTCCGATCCACTTACCGCTACTCCTGACCTCCTTCTATCGGTCTCATACAGCATCTCGTTCCTCACCTTTTCCGTTGACCACAGGTACTTCTCCAGCGGCCAAGTTTCCACCCTATTATTTTCATCTTCAAATCGATTGTAGTATCTCATTTCTGCTTATCATGTACCTTCGACCCTCTTCTCTCCATCTTTGATTATCACAATAATTGTCTCTTTATAGCAAAACGGAGTTCCATCAGATAAGCACCTCAATTTTCCATCTTTTTATTGGCAACTCAGGCTTAAAATTTTCTTTCTCACCGTCTCACCTCAATGAAGATCAATTTCATGCCTTAAATATTGCAGACAACTGCTCCGGTGAAGTTAACTATAGACAAAGGTTGATTGGGGAGTAATGAAGGTGGGAGGCTGAATCGACCGCGTAATCCCTTTGAACCACCCCCGTCTGATCATCTTCAGATTTTCATTATAAAAATCGGCGATGGGAATTTATAGGGTTTTTAAGCAGAATGACAATTACGATTCTGAAGCATTGAAGTTTTTTTTTATTGAGGGCGCGTTAAAATTAAGAGAGAGTTCGAGAGTGGGTTTTGATTTGCCCACCATCAGACAACCACTTCCACCTTCAACACCAGAACAGCACCATATTTTGGTTGTTGTTGCTGAATCAAACTTCAACTTTTTTTTTCTTCCATAAATCAAGGTATGGTTCCCAATCCTGAAGAGGTACCTATATTTTCTTCAATGGATACCAATCACAAAACGAAACCCTATCTAATTTTCTTAATTCGACAACTTTTGTGAAAGGAATTATGACTTTGGTGTTCCCCATCATGAATTTAAGGTCTATGCATCTTAGGAAAGTTTAATTATTGATTGAGTATGTAACTTTAATTTGTATTTTGTAGAAAATAGGTGTTGTGTTCCCCTTCACCATATAGGAAGATATGGATAACTTGTGGATATTGGAATTAATTTTTTTTTTTTTTTCTAAATAGCTATTTTGAAGACTAGATGCGATGTTAATTTTTACATCCAAGGACCAATTTTATGACTTTCTTTTATCAAGTTCCTGGCAATTTTTTTTTTAACATTTCAGGCGGTAAGTGATTTGAGCATGACCAAGTGGAGGGTCTTCCTTGGGATACCTGTTTGTTTATGGGAAGTCAACTTCTTAAGCTCTCCGTTTTTTCTTCAGGTATTGTTATCCTTTCTCTAAAGCCATATAGACATGTGTTATTTAAGGTTTATTGGGAAAAAACACATTATCTGTTGATGTTCTTTCCATTGTGATAATTCCTTTAGGGTCTAGTGGGTTTAACAATCATCTGAGATAAAGTTAACCCAGTTTTTTCAGTGAACTATTTATTGCCGGCATTCAACCACACCACCATTGTTACTGTTTGGATAACGCCTTCTATCATGTTCACCAGGTTCAAATAGTAAGGTCTGTCACCTATTGCAGTTTCACATTTTTGTTACGTCCTTACTTTACACAAAAATGGTCATATTTTCTCATTTATTTGTCAATCCACTTCAGTAATGTCCAATATATATATATATATATATATATATATATATATATATATATATATATATATATATATATATATATATATATATATATGCACACCAACTGTTCGGTAAAATGCTTAAAACAAAATTTTTAATTTTTATTCAATATATGTGACAAAGAATATTCATTTTCTGATTATCGACTTACTTCCTCATGTTATTTGGTCCTTTTTATTCAATATATGTATTTTTTATTTTTATTCAGTATCCTTTTTATTGTTTCATTTCTTGATTTACTTATTTGATTGCAGGTCATGTTATTACAACTTCAGGTTCTAATGGTGCTAGTGAACAAAAGCTCAAAAGAGGCATTTTGATTCTCAAACCACTTTTATCCTATTATAGAAGATATTGGTCGGCAGCTCCAAGGAGATCCTGGGCTGTTCTCAAATCCACCTCCACTGATCCATTCTCAAAAGTAGCAATAATGGTATTTGATTTAGCCTTTTGATTTTGATTTATCATATGAATAAAGGTACACTAACAAGGGCAACTTTTGTTTTCATCATAGGTTTCTGGATGTTGGATCTTGCTAATAACCATTCATGTAACTTTATAAAAAGATCATTTTTTTAGTAAAAAACTTGTGTTTTAAACCATTATTTTAAAAAGTAACAAGAAAAGTAATTTCAGGGCCCCACTCGTGCTCTCCTGGCTGATTTAGCATATAAGTGCCAAGTTCTGAATTCCTCAATCTTAATTTTGATCAAAACCCTAAACCCAAATCTGTTAATAGTTTCATTTATGTTATTCTGTCTAGCAATGCTAATTATAATATTCTATTAATAGGCCCTGATTTTTTAAAAATATTGTTAAATATAATGTTTGTAACAGGGAGTCCTAGACCTGGATGAGGCGATTTCTCCAAAGTGTGGATTTTTTTCCTTGTTGGACTGTAATACTTCAGGTAAATGATAAATAATTAATAAGTATTTAAAATATTTTCTTCTTGTGGTCTTTTATTTTGATTTTATGGGATCTGATTATAAAATTGTTACAGGGTGGATACGAAGTTTTGTAGCAGATTACTGGATATGCATATCATCGTTAGTAGATTACATACTAATTATTAAAGAGGTGTGATTACTGATTAATAAATAAATATTTCCAGGATTTGGTGCTGCAATTGCATGGATGCTAATGGGTGCATTGATCTTGGTGGCCTTTTAAGGGTTACAGCAGGTTATGGAACAAAAGGTATGCTACTTTTTGTTATGATACTTGTAGTTGTTTAATGGCTTTTGTTATATTAAAACTTAGGGGTTGTTTCTGTTTGACTTAATATGGACAAAATGGCCTCATGTGTTAAGCCAAGTTAATGTATTAAGACACCAACCCCTTTAACCTTCTTTTTTCCACCCTCACATGTGAAATTTGTTTTTTCGTATGTAAGGGTAAAACAGAAAAGAAATAGACTTTACGTATCCAAACATACATCATCATCCATTCAGTTTGATGATTTTTCTTATAGTTATTTAGATTCCAATGTTGTTTTATGATTTGAAAAGTCAATTGTCATCAGTATCGCTCTCTGTTGGATCGGATGGACAACCGGATATCATCAAGGAGTGGCAGATTGAGGAAAGGCAGCTGAGATTTGCATCAATGGTCTGAAATAGTTGATCTAATATATCCAAAAGTTGATCTAATATATCCAAAATTTCATTAACAACAAGTTATAATTAAAAATAATATATTGGCCCCTGAGCTTTCGATTTTGATCTTTGCTTGTGGTTCTTACTGTTCCAAGTAAATGAGTATCTTTGGCCCCTGAAACCGTTTTTTTTTCTTAGAGTAAATTAAATTTTTGGTTCCTGAGCTTTCGGTTTTGGTCTTTGCTTGTGGTGCTTACTGTTCTAAGTAAATGACTATCTTTGGCCCCTGCGAGTAGCTGAATTTTGTATATTTGGTCCTAGAAAGTCATTTTACTTGAAACATGTATGGACCAAAATTCTAATAGAACTTTTTGGGAATTAAAAAAAAATCAGCAATTTACTCTTTTAGTTAATAAATTCCAAGCAAGCATACACTTGTTGATGTAATAATTGTTGTTGCATTTGTAATTTTGCATTGCAGGTATATTTGGGTGAGCAGTATGTGAAATACCCTACACTTTCTGATGTAACTTTAATGATTGAAGGTACACATATGATATATGATATGTTTTTTAAAAAAGTAAAAATTAAGTAATGGATGTGGCTGGCATTTTATTTATTTGGTATGATATCAGGCAAAAGGTTTTATGCTCACATAATCTGCCTGCTTGCTTCTTCTGATGCGTTTCGGGCAATGTTTGATGGTGGTTATAGGGTTAGTATCAAACTAGAAACATATAGTATCATATGTGTTTATGAATGATGATGATGAATGTGGCGGTTTGGTTGCATTCTAGGAGAGAGATGCAAAAGATATTGGGAGACATTTGAGAAAATGATTAGGTGCATTTACACTGGATCAGTGGAAGTGGATTTAAGAATAGCCCAGGATCTCCTTAGAGCTGCCGACCAATATCTTCTAGATGGTGTTAGTGAACAAAAACTTTTTAGGACCAAAATTTCAAAAATAAACTATACTCAAGAGACCTAAAATGTAATTCACTCTAAGTTCAAAGATATTAGAATTAGTTTTAAGTATGATTTTCGTTAATCAGGTGATAGATTTTCAAGACGTTTCATTGCAGCCATTGTAAGTGTGTAAGTGTGTAATGTCTTAGTTTTAAGTATGATTTTCGTTAATCAGGTGATGGAAAAAGTACATCCAGGTACTAGTAAGTGTGTAATGTCTTATGTAATCGGAGTTCACAGCCTTAAGGCAATCAGCCTTAAGACACACGATTGAGAATGAATGGATTATTTGATGAAGAGAAACGTGCCATTCAATTCACCTAAAACTTCATTGCTTTGTACAAAATCGGACCTGCAGTGGTGGTGGTATCAGGTCTATCAGAATCATTGATTTTCATAAAAATAAAATAGAAAATCACCATGTGTGTACTTGGGGATATAAAAGGAAATAAATAAACAAGGGCACATTTGTAAAAAGTTAATACTTATATTAATACTCTCTCTTGTCTCTGCTTGGCTTACAATCTTGTATTTTGAAATGCAGCAAGGGACACAAGAAAGAGATCATTCTTCAGAAAGGATTGGTATGTTCTCACGAAAGGTATGGAATTGTAGAAGGGTGAATCTGAGGGTGCATAGTGTAGTGAAGAAAGCACATCTTGGCCTTGTTACAGCCCTAGCCTTCTCACAGGATTCAAGGTTCCCTCTCTTTCTTTCTTTATAAATTCTTTAATTCAGACTTCATACCTTTGACCTTTCCATACCCGTATTTTTTTTATATAAGAAAGCTTGTTGTTTTTTTGTAATACAGAGCCCTGGTGTTTGCATCTCTTGATTCAAGTGCAAGGGTCACACAAATCAAAGAAACCAAAAACAATGGTATATCACTTTTTCTCTCCTCACTCACATCATCATATAAATATGTGTACTTTCTGTTGGATTTTTGTAGCTTGCTTCAAGTGTTACAGAAGAGAAAACACACACTGATAAGAACATGTCAACCATGTTTGATGTGTTGAGAAGGAACAGAACTGTACAGCTTGAAACTTTAGTCCTGAAATGTAAACCCTGGTAACTTCCCAATTCATACTTATACATATTTTCTATGTACCATTTCTTGTCGTTTTCCTCCTTGACCAGGTAATATCATTAATTTGTTTCTTTCTACTTAGTATTTCTTACTGGTTGTGAACAAGCCTCTCATCTCACATTTGAGTTTATAGGAATCAAAAATCACTGTGAAACTTCTAGTGTTTAGATTTCTTATTGGTTGTGAACATTTGTTTCTTCCTTTTCTACCCTTCACTTGCAGGTTGATGATTTGTCATGAATGTTCAGACTATTTTCCAAAAATACCCCATGGATTGGATCCTGTCTATAGTATGTTTAAACAGGTTTGTGATTTTGGAGTTGGATTCTATTTTTTTTAAGTAGAATGTAGTTACTTGTATTTGTTGTCATCTGTTTTTTATCTTTTCGACGCAATCCAGCATGTTGCTGCTGAAGGAACAACCTTGGTCAAACAGTCAAAAGATGCTGCAAGTAATAAGAAGGTGGAAAAGCGATTGCAGGTTCATCCTGCTACATGAACAATAATGATCTTTAGGGTCTGCTAGAAGGATTGGAGATTGTAGTTAAGCTACTATCTAAGACTTCACGCCAAGGACTTGATGAATTTAAGCTAGCAATGTTTTACTTGATTTGGACATGAACCCTAAGATATCATATTTTGGCATGGCTAGAAGCTTTGGAGGAAACGAGACTCAAGCAAAAGTAAACACACAGAGAGTTGTTGGCACATAGTAAGCTAGATAATGCAATTGTATATAAATGAGTTCATTTTTTATAACATTTACTCACTATTGGAATAATTATTTGTATTTGACATATTAGTGAAATGAATTATCTTTGTTATTTATGGTATTTTATTTTGAATTATGAGATTTTTAATGTATTATTTAATTTGAAAATTAGTAAATCTATAAATAATGTTTTTTAAACATTTAAAATTATGATATGCAAAAATGTGTGTCATCTTCATTTATGACATGGCCTTTCTTGACAGGGGCTTTCTTGATACGCATTGCGTGTCATTAACACACGCGTCGTAAGGTTACGACACGCGAATGCGTGTTGTCTTTTTATGACAGGGTCTTCCTTGATACGCATTGCGTGTCTTAAACGCGCATCGTAATTGCGCGTCGTAAATGAGCGTCGTAAATGCGCGTCGTCTCTCTTTATGACAGGGCCTTCCTTGACGCGCATTTGCGCGTCGTCTGAGCCTTTTACGACGCGCAATGAGCGTCGTAAAAGGCTGTTTTTCTAGTA